TGTGATTCTTGTTTGATGGGCAAGATGACAAAATCTCCTTTTACTAGAAAAGGAGAATGGGCTACGGAGTTGCTAGAACTCATACATAGTGATGTGTGCGGTCCTATGAGCTCGCCCGCTAGAGGAGGTTATCTGTATTTCGTTACGTTTACTGATGATTTCAGTAGGTACGGTTATGTCTACTTGATGAGACATAAGTCTGAAACGCTTGAATTGTTCAAGAATTTCAAAAACGAGGTACAGAACCAACTTGGCAAGACGATCAAGTTGCTTCGATCTGATCGAGGTGGCGAGTATATGAGCCAAGAGTTCACTGACTATCTAGCAGATTGTGGGATTGTCTCACAGCTGACTCCACCTGGAACGCCACAATGGAATGGCGTGTCTGAGAGGAGGAACCGGACCCTATTAGATATGGTACGGTCTATGATGAGTCAGGTCGATCTTCCTAAATCTTTTTGGGGTTACGCCTTGGAAACGGCATCGCTTATACTGAATAAATGTCCAACAAAGTCGGCTCAGAAGACTCCATATGAGATATGGACTGGGAAGCGTCCCAGGTTAGCATTTATGAAGATTTGGGGATGCGACGTTTATGTGAAACGTCTGGCTTCTGATAAGCTATCCGCCAAGTCTGATAAATGCATATTTGTGGGTTACCCTAAGGAAACTAAGGGTACTGGTTCCCATCTGAGAACAAAGTGTTTGTTGCTCGGAATGGATCCTTCTTGGAGAGAGAGTTCGTCTCCAAGAGAGTTAATGGGAGTATAATAGATCTCGAAGAATTTCGAGAACCGCAAATAGTCGAAGAACCGAGTGAACAGGTCGAAATAGTTCAACCTGTGTCACAAGTTGTTGAGACAGCACCTCCTAGTGGTTCTCGGAGATCTGGTAGAATTTGCCAAGAGCCTACAAGATATGGATTTCTTGTGACTGGAAACGACGAACTCATGTTGTTAGAACATGATGAGCCTACGTTGTATTCAGAGGCTGTGGCGAGTTCCGATTCCGAGAAATGGCACCAGGCCATGGAGTTTGAGAACCAATCCATGTACGACAACAAAGTATGGGCTTTTGTCGATTCGTTCGATGGTATTAAGACCATTGGATGCAAGTGGGTTTTCAAGAAGAAAACCGACATAGATGGCATCGTGCATACCTATAAGGCACGACTCGTCGCGAAAGGGTTTTGGCAGACTCATGGTATAGACTATGATGAAACATTTTCACCAGTCGTGATGCTTAAATCCATACGGATTCTGCTGGCCATATCTGCGTATTATGACTATGAGATATGGCAGATGGACGTCAAGACCACATTCCTTAACGGGAATTTGCTCGAGGATGTGTACATGACACAATCCGAGGGTTTTGTCGATCCTTAGAGTCCGAGAAAGGTGTGCAAGCTTCAGAGATCCATTATGAACTGAAGCAGGCTTCGAGGAGCTGGAATCTTCGATTTGACGAGGTATTCAAAACGTTTGGCTTCCTGCAAAACGAAGATGAACCATGCATTTATAAGAAGGTCAGTGGGAGCGCAGTGGTCTTCCTTGTACTTTATGTGGATGATATATTGTTCATCGGAAATGACATTCCTAGCTTGCAAGGAGTAAAATCCTGGCTAGGATCAGTCTTTTCGATGAAGAACTTAGGAGAAGCCGTCTATATTCTAGGAATCAAGATCTATAGAGATAGATCGAGAAGGCTTCTTGGACTAAGTCAGAGTACATACATTGACAAGGCCTTGAATCGGTTCAAGATGCAAGACTCCAAGAGGGGGTGCCTTGCCAATGGGACATGACGTGGCTCTTAGCAGACTCAGTGTCGAAAGACACAGGATAAGCAAGAGCGCATGAGTAGGATTCCATATGCCTCGGCAATTGGATCCAACATGTACGCCATGTTGTGTACTCGTCCGGATGTATCATATGCATTGAGTATGACTAGTAGATATCAGTCTACACCAGGTGAGGCTCACTGATTGCGGTCAAGAACATCCTTAAGTACTTGAGAAGGACTAAGGATTTGTTCTTGGTGTATGGCGGATTGGAAGACGAGCTCGCTATAAGTGGTTATACCGATGCTAGTTTCCAAACCGACAGAGATAAATTCAGATCGCAGTCAGGTTATGTTTTATGCCTGAACGGTGGGGCTATCAGTTGGAAGAGTTCCAAACAGCCAACCGTGGCAGATTCGACTACAGAAGCCGAGTACATAGCAACATCGGATGCAGCTAAGGAAGCTGTTTGGATCAGGAAATTCGTGGGAGACCTGGGCGTCATTCCTAGCATTGCAAATCCCATTGAGTTATACTGTGGCAACAATGGTGCGATCGCACAAGCTAAGGAACCCCGGTCACACCAGAGATCCAAACACATACTCAGGCGATTTCACTTGATCAGAGAAATCATCGACAGAGGAGACGTGAAGATAAGCAGAGTGTCGACAGATGATAATATTGCCGACCCATTGACGAAGCCTCTCCCTTCGTCAAAACATGATGGTCATGTTAAGGGTATGGGGATTAGATGCTTGTAGGATAGATCATAGAGCATAGTGGGAGATTGTTGGTTGTAATGCTCTAGGATAATTCATGATATGACATTTTACTTTGTATTGATTCATTGATTTATGAATGCATTACATTCCCGTTATATGATTGGCATGTTTGTTATATTTCGGCATCCTTGAATCATTAGAGAATGATTCTAAACTCCCTAGTCAGTCAATATTGTGGGAACAATGTTGAATTAAGACTAGCATGAGGTATGATCGATGCATTGGATGCATGTCACAATCATGGGTACTCGTTGTAAACGAGTGACTGGATGACCCGCATGAGATTGTCACATGGACAGAGTCATGACTTGAATCTCATAAAGCGGTTCGTTCTTGGATCCTCAGACCTGAGATGTCTAGAGTATCTGATATGAGGAGTGGCGTGTCTTGACTGCGTCAAACGTCGTCTTTAACCGGATGATCATAACGGCGTTGATCAGACACGTTCACGAATCATATGGAGATAGTAGACATGCAATATGGGATTTGTCACCTCCTTAACAGGAGAGATATCGCTGGGCCCTCTCGTGGAAATCGGACTATGAAAAACGCGTGGCCACGCTATAGATGAAATTGCATCTATTTTACTAGTCGATTTACCAAGACGAGAAAGCGGTTGAACTTGAAGGGTGACTCAAACCATGCCCTTGTTCAACTTATGATATCGTGAGACAAAGGATCAGAATTCGAGCTGTTAATGCCTTGGTTAGATCACCTCTAACTCAATTCTAAATGGGTGGTCATGGCGTCTTGCTAGAGGCTAACCATGACTTGTGGTTCGGGAAAAGTTCCTAAAGTCACTACCACTTAGAATGGGCCTACAGGATCACACA